ATCTGATTATCAAGCAGTATCATGAGAGTCTGGGTCACATGGGTCAAGAATGTGTTTTGTCTTCTTTAAGAGAAACATTCTGGGTGGTCAAAGGAAGGTCAGCAGTGCGAGGAGTGTTAAGGAGATGTATAGACTGTCAGCGAAGAAACACACGCCCGGGAGAGCAGTCTATGGCAAATTTACCTGAAGAGAGGCTAACCCCTGACAAGCCACCATTCACATTTGTTGGTGTCGATTATTTCGGGCCGATTGAAGTAAAGCAGGGCAGATCCCATGTGAAAAGGTATGGATGCCTATTTACGTGTTTGACAATGCGAGCGGTCCATATAGAAGTGGCCCATTCCTTGGACACTGACTCAATGATAAATGCACTCAGAAGATTCATCAGTATTCGTGGTTGTCCTGAGCAGATAAGAAGTGATCGAGGTACAAACTTTACTAGCGCAGAAAGGGAGTTAAAGGAAGCCATAGAGGGATGGAATCAGCAGAAGATCAACAGTTTTTGTGGACAGAAGATGATAGAATGGATTTTCAATCCACCAGCGGCGAGCCACATGGGCGGCATCTGGGAGAGGATGATACGTTCTGTGCGCCAGATCTTGCGAGTGATGTTGAAGGAGCAGGTAGTCTCCGATGAGGTCCTCTCAACCGTTTTGGCAGAGGTGACGAATATTCTCAATTCCAGACCCCTCTCAAGAAATAGCGACAGTCCTTTAGACGAACAACCATTAACCCCTAATCATTTGTTGCATCTGCGCCCGTGCCCAAGTGTACCTCCAGGGGTCTTCGACAAGGACGACCTCACCTGCAGACGTGCTTGGAGGCAAGCGCAGTATCTTGCCAATTTGTTCTGGCGTAGGTGGACGAGGGAGTACCTGCCCACTCTGTTAGACAGGAAGAAGTGGACTGAGCCAAAAAGGAATTTACAAATTGGTGACTTGGTGCTTGTAGCAGACGAAACCTTTTCCAGAGGGAAGTGGCCGCTTGGAAGAGTTGTGGAAGTTATTGCGAGCCGCGATGGGTGGGTGCGCGCAGCGAAGGTGAAGACAAGTGCAACAGTAGCAACATGTGCCAAACGACGGTACAGAAGAGAACCTGTGACCGCAGCCAGTACCACCATACTTACACGCCCAGTTACAAAGTTATGTTTTCTGGAGATGGATGGAGTGGCCGATAGAGTAGGACCAGTTTAAGTGACTTTGCAGCAGTGCGAGGAGATGATTTAATGAACGTTGATATGAACATTGGCTTTGATAGTCATGAACAGTGATTCTAATCATTCCTTTATAACGTTGTGTTTAGTTGTAGTCGGTAGCTTATGTTTGTAAATGAGATTGCTGTCGGTGCATTCTCATTTAGGGGCCGGTGTAACTACCGACCGTCGTCAGTTTATTTTATTCTATTTGTTTTATTTTTCCCCTTTTTTTTTTTTTTTTTTTGTTTTTATTTCATATCTGCGTTTTGGTTCGCACTTCCGGTCACATGATAGTCATGTGACCGGAGAGCACATGGTAGAGCTAGGCGCCATTTTTTGTTGTTGTTTTTCTGCAAGAGCAAACAGTTCTTCAATGTACAAGTACAAGTACAAGTACAAGTATAAGGACACGTACACTGTATATTTAAAGTGACATTTTTGGAGCAAGTACAGGAAGCAGTATTCAGGGAATAAAGTGCTTTAATCAGGGTTCAATTTGTGGAACTCACACTATTTATTCCTTAAGCTTTGCTTTTATGCGCAAAGAGAAAGCTGTGTCTCTTGTAATTGAAACAACTATTACTCCCTTATATCTAGTAAAGAGGAGCTTTGAGACTTCATTTGCTCTTGGATCATGCATGCCAGTACGCTCAGTTAAGCAACTATCGTAAATCTAGCTGTTGTGTTGACTAAATACCCTGGACAGCTAAGGGCCGAATCGCACTAGAGCCAGACATTTCGAATGTCCCGGGGCAAACTCCACAGGATTTGGCTTTAAGTTTGTCCGCTGACAATTTGTCTGTTGTCCACGCTCCATCGCACTAACGTTTTGTTTACGTTGGACAAATCCGAAATGTTTACATTTCGTCACACTTGTGACCTTTCCATTATCCAATACTTGGCGGGAAATCATATTTCATAACAGCATGATCCCAAGACGTTTTCTGCTTTTTGTAGCTGCAGCATTTGTCCTACAATTTCAGATGTACGCTCAGCTGAGGATGATGCTGATAATTTTGTCTCTTGCTCAATTTCAACTAGAGGGGAGAGCTTTTCTGAGATTGTTCGAGATTCGAAGGCGAAGACGAAATCGGCGTGGACATCCGTACTTTTGGGTTCTCCCTCGACCCGCCGATTCATGGTTTGATATTCATTATAATGACCCAAGAATCCCAGACGAATATTTCAGGAAACAGCTTCGAATGAGAAGAGCTACTTTTCGTTTGCTTTTGGATGTCCTTCGCCCATACATCACAAGACAAAACACTCGTTTTAGAAGGTGTATTGAGCCAGAAAAGGTATTGGCAATTGGGCTCACGCGCTTAGCTCATGGAGGAACATACGTTTCGATTGGGCCTGGTTTTAACGTTGGGACAACGACAGTAATCGAGGCCGTCGAAGACGTCGTTACAGGACTGGTTTCTATAAAACATGATTATATCAAATTCCCTGAAACTGAAGCTCAAGTTGTAGAAACGAGGGAAACTTTCGAAGAGCTTTCTGATCTTCCAAATGTGGCTGGTGCAATTGATTGCACACATGTCACGATCAAAGCCCCTACTGACAGCAGAGTCGACTACTTCAGTCGATTCCAGCGCTACCATATAATCGTCCAAGCCGTGGCTGATGGCAAGAAAAGATTCCTAGATGTAGCAGCTGGCTTTCCAGGATCCCTGCACGATGCACGCGTGTTACGGAACAGTCGCCTTTACAGACGATGCGAGAACCAAGAATTATTGACTGGTCCTACTATGAATGTTCTCGGCCGAGAGATTGGTCCATATTTGGTGGCCGATAGCGCTTATTTTTTGGCTCCCTGGTTACAAAAAGTTTACCCTGAAGGAACGCAAGATCCCGACGAAATTGCATTTAATGAGGAACTTTCCTCGGCCAGAGTTTCCGTGGAGTGCGCCTTTGGAATTCTGAAAAGTCGTTGGCGTATTTTGACAAAGCAAATCGAAAGCGGGGTTAGTTCTGTGAGTGATACAGTTGTAGCATGTGCTGTTTTACACAATTTCTGCATTAATGCCGGCGATGAATGGGAATGGGATGATGGCGACGACGACGGAGGAAATGATAATGATGTAAATGTTTTGAGGGATGGCGACGATATCAGAGAACTACTAAAAGAGTACATTGCCATGTGATTTTATTTATCATTGATCTCTTAACAATAACATATTGTTTTGAGCTATTTTCGTTCTGTTCGTGTTTTCTTGATCATATAGACTTTGTAAAAAAACTGGAACGAAAACTTATAAACGCTAGAATATAGCATTGCTTTGAACTACTGTCTCTTTGCAGTTTCAGAGTAATTGTTTACAAAGCAGGATAAGTGAATAAGGATAAACGAAAACTGTTGCCTTTAATTTTTTTCTATAGCCTTGGTCAGAGCAGCGAGGAAACCAGTCATGGCCTGAGTTTGCTCTCGTTGCATTTCTTGCATTTGCTCTACAGCATTTGCCAATCTATCACCCTGGCGCTCCACTCTCTCGGTAAATCTAGCAAAATCCTCAGAATCGTCGTTCTCCAGGCTTCTCTTGCGCCCTTTTCCCTTTCCTTTTCCCTTCTTCCTCTCGCTCCTGCTTTTGACTTTGATTCCCATTGCTTGAAGGGCTTCCTCTGCCTGATCCGAGGTATATCCCTCCTCCTCGTCACCAGCAGGCGAGTCAGGCAATTTCTCCTTATTTTTCGCTGCTGCATTTGCAGTTTCCCGCACGTGCTTCAGAGTAACAACATCCCTGCCTCCGAGCACGCGGTCAAAGACATCAAAATGTTCGCAGGTTTCATTATTTCCTCCCGTCTGCGATCGATTCCAGTCCTTGGCCTCTTTGTACTTCTTTTTTAAGTGCTTAATTTTTCTCTCGCACTGACTTGGAAGGCGCGCTAGGTCGAATTGCTCGTTTATTTTAGTGGCGATTTCACCCCACACTTTCCTCGACTGTTGGCTCTCCAACCTTGATATATTCGCCTCCCACAGATCCACAAGGTATTTCACCTGGTTCTCTGTCCATCGGTCTTGCGTTGTCTTGCCCTGTCTCTTGTCCTGCTTCGTGTTTCCTTCAGTGGAAGTGCTGGCAATCTCGCATGTCGGAGTGCTAGTTCCACTAACACTACTTCCCGACTGAGGACTGCTACTCCTCTGTCCTGGCGGAGAACTACTGGTAGTAGCATGGGGCATCGAGGTCGTGGAATTCCGATATGGATACGAATCATAAAAGTTTTGGAAGAAATAACCCGGAGGATAGCAAAATGGAAAGCTGTTTGGCGGGCTGTTTTGGTCCGACATCTTGCAAAGTGAAGAACGCGCGAAAACCAAAGATCACGTTGTACTCATCATTTTTGACGTCTTAATTAAAAAACAAACACCAGCTATTGTATTCTCGGTTGTTTGATCCATTTGTCCTGCCTCGGAGCAGGACATCGCAGCCTTTGAAGTTTGGCTGTCCTTCGGAATATTTGGCTAACTCGAAAATACGCGATCGCATTAGGACAAGTCAAGCGTTGACAGATTTTTGACATAAAATAAACAATTTTTGATTTGTCTGGCTCTAGTGCGATTCGGCCCTAATGTGTTAAACACCCTTCTTGAAGACATTGGTTTTAATTCATTCCAGTCATACTCACATAATTGTCAGTTTCATGGTCTTGTAATCATGAAAATAAACAAAACAAATGAAAACAGTGACGGAGCGAGTTGATGGTTGTGGACAGGTGTGACTCATGTTTATCTTTATTCTTGCCAACGTAGGTTAAGACCGAATTTTCAAGACACAAACATTTTCTCCTGCACCAAGGTTGCTCAATGGCGACTGCAGCACCGTCACCCCTAGCCAGCTCAAGGGAGAAGACCAATGGAAGCAAGCTGAACAGACTCCTGATCGATGGTGGAACAACAGTACTGAGGAATATTTTTGATGCTATTTACCCTCCTGCAAACTTGGTTGCTGATCTCAATGCCAATTACTCAATTCTTAACAAACTTCTTCGTAGAAGAGTACTAAATAGACATCAGTGGGACAAACTCTTCCCCCCTGGTGGGATGGCACCAGATTCCAACACGTTTGACATCACTCTTCTGTTCCTTCTACTAACCAACATTTGTGGTTTATCCCCTCCCCTGACAGGATGGCACACCAAGCCATCCCCTGGTGACAACTCTCTTGAGGCTAACCTTGCTCGCGTTAAGTTCTTTCGGAATGTGTTGTATGGTCACATGACTACCACCGGTGTAGATGAGACATCTTTCTCTTCCATCTGGCAAGAATTAAGCACTACTCTTCATTCTCTGGGTTTAGATCAAGCAGAAATTGACAGACTGAAGGCAGAGCGCGGTGGAGAGCAAGATTACCGTAATGTCTCACTTGAGTGGGCTGACAGTGAACAGGACATAAAAACATGGCTGAAGAATATCCACCAGATGCAACTAAAGCTTATTACGACACTTGAAGATGGCGCTCTAAACCTGGAAGAGCTACGTCACGCTCAGTACGCCCTAAGACAAACTCATGATGTTGCAGTTGAAGCAGTGGAGGTAGCACTCAAAGGACATCAAGAGTTGAGGGCAACACACCAGGAAAGTATGTCTCATAAACAGGGAGAGTGTGAGTCCCAAACCAAAACCAGCCAAGCTGGAGATGAAATTCGTGAATCAATTCAAGAAGTAAAACAGGAAGTAAAAAGCTTGAAGAAAAAGCCGAGAACCGAGCACGCAGATGAGGTGCTCAAGACCCTTGTGAAGTTTGAATTCAAAGGAGATATAGAGTATCATGCAAATAAATTCCAGGAAGGAACTCGTGAGTGGATCTTCAAAAGCATCGAAAAATGGTTAGACGACCGGAGCTCGCCACACCGGGCGATGGTAATCAGTGGAAATCCAGGGATGGGAAAGACTGTTATCTCTGCTGTTGTTTCGCAAAGAATGCAAAAGGCTGGAATACTGGCAGGAAGTCACTTTTGTCAGCATAACAATTCACGGTACCGAGATCCAAGTTTAATGCTCCAGTCTTTGGCCTGTCACTTGTGTCAAGCGATGCCAAGTTACAAAGATACTCTGGTGGAACAGCTGTCAAGAAATATGGGTGAAGGCCTCAAAAACATGGGTGTAGAAGAGCTGTTTGCGTTGCTGTTCAAAGAGCCTCTAAGCACAGTACAAGATCCTGGAAGAAACACCCTAATAATCATAGACGGTGTCGATGAAAGCGAGTATCAAGGACGCAATGAGCTTCTACATGTAATCAGCAACCACTTCTCTATGCTTCCAGTTTGGATTAGAATTTTGATCACAACTCGTTCAGTGAGGAGCATAACAGAGGCATTGCGACATTTAGAGCCAATCGAGCTTAAACAAAAGCGCGAGGAAAACTTAAATGACATTCAAACCTTGTTTGAAAATCAACTCAGCAACAAAATTGGTGAAGAGCATAAAGATATTATCTTGAAAGAGCTGGTTAAGAAATCAGAAGGCCTGTTCATTTACGCTTATTTTATAGTGGATTTTATCCAAAAGAATGTTTCATTTCTCACCCCTGATCAGTTACAACGCGTGTTACCTTCAGGTATTTCATCCGTTTACTTGTCCTATTTCAAACGATTAGAGAACGAACTTTGCAAAGAGCCTGATACAGATGAGGAATCTTTTTTGCGTTTCCTGTGTGCATTGACCGCTGCAAGGGAACCATTACCAGTGGAATTCATTGCCAAAATTCTAAACCTAAGAGGAAAATCTTTGACTGCGCGGCGAAAAGTTAACAAAGCAATATCTTGCATCTCTACACTGTTACCAGTTCGGGAGGGTCGTCTGCACTTTTTTCACAAGTCAATCAAGGACTGGCTAAGAGCATCATTGCCCTATGAACAACATGATTTCACGGTGGACGAGAAAGAAGGTCATGCCGTCCTTTCTGATCTTTGCACTTCTGAACTCAAAAACATCGACCAAAAAGGGATTCATGGCAAACAGCTAACCAATACTGAAAAATATGCTTTGATTCATACTTCCCAGCACATGCGTGAGGCCAATGATGATCATCAATGGATTGACCGTTCAGAGACCATAAGTGGCACATCTAATCAGGTATACCAGTATGTGACGAACCTACATGCTTATTTATCCAAAACTCTGTGTAAATAGAACATCCACTACGGAGGATCTCTATAGCAAAGAGATTTGATTGCAATATTGCTCTATAATCTTCTAACGAAACACTCTTATATTTTGCTCGATCGCCCTCATCCTTTTTTCTAGTGTTTGATTAACGAATGCATCCCTGAATTATTGCCTATGGTAGCGAGTTTTGTCGAATTATCTATTCCCACAATACCCTGCATGAAAGTCCTAGACTATACAGTAGAACCCCGCCTTACGGCCACCTCGATAATACGGTCACCTCGATAATACGGTCACCTCGTTATTACGGCCAGTTTTTTTTTTGGCCCGGCAAAACGGCCATACATTTCCTTATAAAAGAAAAGCGTTAATGCGGTCACCTCGTTATTACGGTCATTTCTTTTTGGCCAGGCATAACGGCCGTACATCTTCTTATAAAAACGTTAATGCGGTCACCTGTTGATACGACCACATTTTAAAATCCGAAACAGTAGAATCCCTTCTAATTTCACCCCGTTGATGCGGCCACTCGTTCGAAATTTAGAAAATTAAAATGCATGTGACATGTCGATTTTATTGATGTAGTAATCTAAGCTTATTCTCTTCCTGCATTTAGACTACAGTACACTTAAAAATATAATGCACTTGTTGCGATTTATAGCCGAATTTTCAAAGAGTTTCATGTACTGAAGGGAAATTTTGAGAATTTTTTTCAATTACTGTACGTGATATCTACATTCCGGTTGTTTATTAACGAGAACAGTACCTTGAATTGAATGCGATGTACGGTGTATTCCTGGTGTATTTGTCATAACTGCCCTCAAGTCATGAAAGTTAAGCCTGCCCCGATAATACGGCCACGCTGTTAATACGGCTAATTTTTTTGGCCCATTGGTGACCGTATTAACGGAGTTCCACTGTAGTAAGGAACAGACGAGGGGAGCAGATGAAGCAAGGTTCTACTGTTCAGACAAAATCGCATGTTTTGATGTTTCACCTGAACTGGATTACCTGGTATGCGAGTGTCGAGATGAAACAATCCATCTGTTTTCCCTGCAGACTGGTACCAAAGTATGGGTTCGACCATCACCAATAAAGAGATAGTATGGTTTTAGAAATGAATATAATGGGAGTGGCGCATATCGTCAGGTAGAGATGCACTTGTTGTCATTTTACAATTCTGTCACATTTCATCCAGTTGGGAAGTCGGTAATACCTGGAAGTCTTCGATATGTTTACACCCTAACTGGAGAGAAAGAAGACCTTTTTCCAGAAAGTGATTGTACGTTCTCAAATTGGGCCTTACGTTCGTTAAAAGATGGGGACTCACTATTCACACATTGCCCCGCAGAGCCAAGGGGGATAAGCATTTGGGATATGGTAAATGGCCAAAAAATATTTATTGATTGTGAGAAATACATATTTTCTTTTACCGTTTCTGATGATGGGTCACTAATTGCTTTTTCCAACCCTGAAGTAGATCACTATGGTACAATTACTGTTTTTGACTCAAACACCAGTCTCGTTTGTATGTTATACTCCCCGACCCCTTGGGTTTTTTCGTGTGTGGAATGTTACGCTTCACATCGAATAACAACACTCCTGTTCCTGTTTGTGGCTTTCTACACAAAAAATGCGCAGATGAAGATTCTTGCTACTTTTTCATTCCGGCTGTAAATACTTTTCACCTTTATAACTCTCATATCATTAACATTAGCCTGTTATTTTGAGACAATACTTAGGGACACACCTTGACTTAGGGTGGCTCTGTTACTCCATGACCATGTCCCCTCTCAGAAGAACATAACTCTTACATAATGTGTATTTGATATATGTTTTTTACCTTTTCACCTTCATCAAAATCGCAGAGTTCAGTGCTTCATGCAAAATGTTTCCCGGAAGTTCTCGGCAGGTTTTACGTTCCAGTGAATTCTCATGATTTCTAAGTGACTTATTTTCAGGACTTGTGGGAACTTGCACGACCGCCTGAAAAGTTGGAATGGGCTGCTCTCGATAATAGTTTTAATCTTGTGGAGATAGGTCTCGCCTCGTAAAAGTACAGTTGTTACGGTATATTATTTTGATTAAATATAACGAATGTTTACCATTATTAGCTTACGTGGAAGTCGATTTCTTCTAATTCTCTCTCTCCGTCTTTAGGAAAGCGCTACTGATGGACGGTCAGCCTCTTTCGTGAGAGGCCCTTTAAGGGTAACACTAATCGGAGATCAGTGGGGATCATCAATGATCGGGTTGTCTACGGTGAACAGGGAATTAGCAAAAAACCTTGCACGTCAGCCTGGGGTGGAAGTAACTATTCTACTGCCACATTACAGTGAAGGAGAGAAGCAAGAAGCTAATGACTGTCAAGTGAGCCTTGCGACACCAGAGCCAATGACTGGGTTTGATTCAATCCAGGCATTGAGCTTTACTAGAGAAGATCATGATATTGATGTTGTTGTAGGCCATGGTCAGAAGCTTGGAGCACCAGCTCAGGCCATAGCAAAACAACGCAAGTGCAGACGAGTTCATATGGTACACACTGCCAGTGAAGAGCTTACAATGTTTAAGGAAGGCGAAGCAGCGATACATGTAGGCAAGGAGAAGCACCGAACTGAAATGTATTTGTGTAAGGAAGCTGATGTCGTCCTTGCCATTGGACCAAAGCTAAAGGAAGCTGTCTCAGCCAATCTTCGGTGCTACGGTAGAGATGAACATGTGATAGATATCACACCTGGAATTTTTTCGGAGTTCGCAAACTTGGAACAAGCCAGTCAGGAAAGAGAACAATTCCGCATCTTAGTGTTTGGTCGTGGTAACTTGGAAGATTTTGAACTAAAAGGATACGATATAGCTGCTGAAGCTGTAGCAAGCCTAAAAGACGAAAACTACCTTCTTCAATTTGTTGGGGCACCAAACGGTAAAGAAGAAGAAGTTAAAAACAGGTTACTGAAGTGTGGCATTCCTCGCACACAGTTAACTGTTCGAAGATTTGCTGAGAGTCGCAACGAAATAAAAGAACTTTTGTGGACGGTCGATCTCGCCATTATGCCGTCACGAACGGAAGGCTTTGGCCTCACCGCTCTTGAAGCACTATCCGCTGGCCTTCCTATTTTGGTAAGTAACAATTCGGGATTCGGTCAAGCTATCCGAAAAGTAGAATTTGGATCTGCGAGTGTGGTGTGTTCCGATGATCCTAGAGAGTGGGGTAAAGCTATCAGACATGTGAGACAGAAACTACGGAAACTCCGGCTAATGGAAGCTTGTTCTCTTAGAAAGTCGTATGACAGAGAGTACAAGTGGGATACACAGTGTGAAAAGCTTGTAGATAGAATGCGAAAAATCCTCAAATAAGCTTTGAGTAGACACTCAAGGTTGTTACGTGATCGTAAATATGAACTTTTACGCATAAACCAACGCTAACGGATTGCCGTTCAACAGTTGATCAATCACACGGCTTTCGAACGGGTGAAGCAAGCCGTTTGAATGGGTGTATCTGAACGGATGAACCATTTGCTAGGTATAAAAATTAATTACAGTTTGCCTTTTACGCTTTCGTTCTTCATTGTCTTTTCCTTTTGAAAGATAAGTAAGAGTCTTGAACTTTCCTTTATCGGGGTGGGCGTGGCCAAAACTGTGGTCAAATCTTGTTGTTTCTAAGGCCCCTCTTTTTATAAGTTCTCTCTCTAATCGTGTTAGTCCTTTCTTCAAATCCTTAGTTAACCTATCTACTGTTTAGCTGATCAGTGTTTTGCCATCTGATTCGAAAAATATATATTAATAGTTATATTTATTTTTCGTAAAATTATGTCAAAGATACATCAAAAGGAAGGAAACGATAGAACACTGACACTTCTTATCTTACGGAGTGTATCCTTTCACTTCGTTTTCGTTTTCTTTAGAATAACTTAGCTTTTTTAGACTAAGCAAAGCAAATTTTTGCAACAAGGTGTGAATGTAAGATTTTTGCAATGTTATATTCTTTTGTTTGGATGAAAATGTTTTATTTCTTTATAGTTTGGTGGCATTTTAAAGTGATCTTTTCAAGGTGTCCCATTATGATATAAGACTAAGTTCTGGTGACAAATTTCCGACGTCATTTTCGGCAATAGTGTCAACATATGAAAAACCAAACACATGGTTTTTGAAAAATGGGCTCTCTAGTCCACTGTTGAAAATTTCAGAGTTACAGTATTGAAGATCTTAGTTTGAATTTCTCACAAATTTGGCTCTTAAACTCTCTAGCCCGAACCAAGAGAGAGCTGACCCTCAGAGGGATTGCAATAGAATAGGGTCTATGGGAGATTTGCTGTCTTTCTCTTCACCCCCTGTTGGTTAAATAAATTTTATGATATGGCCTTCACCAGGCTTTAAGGTTTATTAGACCAGACTTCCTACCGTGACCTGTTGCGTGTATATTTTATAAATCATTTCTACATTCAGTGTAAATAAATCATCTTGGGACTGGACTACACAATTACATTCTGGTTCCTTATCTTTGCAATATAATTTCAAAGGGTAATGTTACCGATGTCAGTACTAGCCTGCGAGGGCATCCGTTTTTTGGCTCTAGTTTCGGAAGAGAAGCGACGACCGCAAATACGTCTGCGGTTTGCAGGCTATGTTAGTACTGTCGTTTGCTGTTTCAGGCATCTCGTGGTTTGGTTCCTAGTGTTCTATACTCTTATGATCGATTAGTTTTTAAATTTTCTTGTTTAGTTAACAAACAAATCACGCGTGCATATTTAACAGTTAATGAATGAGGATGAGTATCTTTTGAAGAATTTTGGAGATCGAGGAAGGTGTTATCCCTCCGAGATCTCCATTCCCTATTTTCCAATTGCCCATAATACACTCTGTTTGCCCCCCAAATTTTGCATAAACCATTGTTTTTAAATGCCCCTGGGAGTATTGCATTTTCCCAAGAGCATTTTAAGACAATAAGTTATACAAAATTTGGGGGGCAAACGGAGTGTATTATGAGCAATTGGAAAATAGTCAATAATTCTTCATATGATACGAAAGCCGAATTCAGTAATTGTTTTATTATTCATTCAAAATAATTTCAAGTTTAAAAATATAGCTACAACATGCTTACCTCTATCGATGTTAAGTTCATCTTCAATAGCTCATGTTTAGGATTGTTCAGCTCCGCAATTATTCTCCAGATAGCAGATGTCGCCCTTGCAGACGGTCTTCTTGCAGTTTTTGCCATGTTTTTAGCTGTTATTTCGCCTAGTTCTTACTCTTGAAACGAGTGAAATGTCCTCCATTTTTGTTTTCACAACCAAAGCAACTCATTCTCGTTTCCAGGTCTTCTCAGTTAACGGTGCATTAACCTGCAAGGAAGCTGCACTTTTGACGTCATCGTCTGATTAATCGCAAAATTCTTCCAAATTTGGTCCCCATTATCTGGTTATGGTGAATTATGCGTGTGCTTTCAGCCAATCAGATTCGGGGAAATATTTTAAATGAATAATAAATATATTTATACCCTGCTCGTTATTCCCTAATTCAATCTTTATAAGTCCGGGCTATAACCATTTCTGGATATCGGTTTCGGGCCTTGTGATTTGGTGTGGTCAAAACCAAGACAAAACAAACTTGTCTGAAGAGATACTGGAAATAGTAGAAGTTGGACAAGTGTTTTGATGGCAGCCACTTGCGGCAATCGGCCGAAACAAAATTCAGTAATAAACGATGCGCGGAAAGATTATAAGCATAGAAAAATACTTTATTTATTTGAAACATTCAGAATGATACAACTCAAATGTCTTGTCATTTCCGCAGGTGAAGAGTGAAGTGGATTCTTTCCAGTTCATTTTTCATCATTTGAACGTTTTCACGTCGTCGTCCTCCACCCGCGGAGCTAAAGAACATGCTTTTCGAATGCTTTAACTGCATCGGACCAAAGATTAAAACCTAGAAACAGAAACCCCAGGAAATAAAACAGGAAAGGTCAGCTTCATATGCATGACCTTTTAACGTGAAACCAGCGGCAAAAATAAGATTTGCCCCACGACCTCCATAGCATAATCTACTCGGCTGCTACAAAGAAAAGAATCTGAACAAATGACATTTTACATTATGAGGTAAAAGTCGTTCAGTCCTACAGACCCCGCCGTTTTTTATCATGTCAATTCGGGTCAGGAAATCACTATCCGTAAAAATTCAATATCCTGAAATCAACACGCAACAAAGCATGGCAGGAAATCGGTAGAGGTCAATTCCTGACAGAAAAAAAAATCACGTACAGGAAATGGCCTCTCTGAATGTGAGGCAAAGAGCAATGATAATATTTGCTCAGTTAAACTTTGAAATCCCGCACAATGTAATCTACCCACTAGGAAGAAAATAATCAGAACATGGCATGGCACTACTCCGCTCGGCATCCTTCCACCAATCAGAGTTTATCCACGAAGACGACAAAATGAAACGAGATTTTGAATCAGTAAGCCTGTTCCAGGCGTTCAGGTGGTGGGGAGCGAGTTAGGTCACACGCGGCATTTTGCACAACGTGCGAAACGAGGGGAGGAGAAAAATAAAGCTCTTACCACGGCCAGTCCATTGTTCTGGCTCTTCCGCCCACCTACCCCGACAAGTACAACCTCGTTCGCAGGTTCTCTCTCCCCTGGGAACGAGGTTGCCACAAGTATTGACTGACGGCGGTGATGTCAAAAGGACCAATCAAAACACGATCCATTGCTCAAAAATTGTCACCTTTCTGGCTACCTGAAACACCAACCACAGCATAAAACATCCTAAATAACTGCGAGCACCTTCAATAATGCAAGACTCAGTGCAGCAAAAGTAAGATTTGCTCATTCAAAGTTTAGTGATGTCCAAACACAGCGGCGAGAGAGAAAAGAGAGAAAACGTGTTGTTCAAACAAATTCCAAGGTCAGGTGCCTATTAGTCATGTTTGTGCCTGTCAACACTTAGCTTAAAAAGGTTGGTAAATGAGGCTTTATCCTAAACTAGTTGGAAGCAATCCCGGGGGGAACTCCGCATATGAAAGGGGTGGGGATGCTCGTCGGAAATTTGAATTAAACCCCTAAAGGAGACCGATCTGGGCGTGACCCAAGCTTTTTTTGACCCCTAAAAGAGACCATGTTAAAACACAGACAAAGGAGAAAACTTGGATTATATGAATGGAGTAAATAAAAGGCATTAAACATATACATATCAGATTTTTTTAAATATTTTTTCGCGTGCAACCCTAAAGGAGACCTTCACGGCTAAATATGATGGCGTTTTGCCCAGAACACCCCAAGTGAGACCAAAATCCGAAATTTACACCCCTAAGCGAGACGACGAGCATCCCCACCCCTTTCATGTGTGGAGTCCCCCCGAAGAAGCAATCCAAGAACATCTTTAAACATTTCTTTTGTTTTTCTTTTATTTCTGAAACTAGACGAAAGTCTTCTCGAACTGCATCGTCAAAAGAACATGAATGCGCGACGGTTATTTTGTTCCAGACAAACATGCCAAAACAGCGCGTCATCAATCAACCAAATGGAACGCAACGTTCATGTAGTGAACGTGGGAGGAGCCAGAACAACGGACAGGTAACAGACGCATTATTTTTCTCCTCCCCTCGTCTCACGCTTCGCGCAAAATGCCGCGTCCGCCTCGCTTGGCTCGGAAGCGCGTGTTATGCAGGCTAATAAGCAGACTTTCAACGTCCGAGCACTCGAACTTACATTTTGGGCGCTCGACAGGAATTTAACAAATCGGAAGCAAATTTATGCTAGTTTTTGAAAACATTTCTTGTAGGAACCAAAAAAAATGAATGCTACATATACCTGAAAACGTCGAATCAGCTACTCCTTAATCGGCTTCCTCTCAGAAAGACCGTTTGCTCGACTTATCCACAGAATTTCTCTCTCCAATCACAGCAGAAGCTATCACCTATTCACCTGTTGTATTTAGTCACTCTTTGCCTTAAATTTGGCAAGATTTGACGGAATAAGACTGAGGACTGAATCCACTAAGGCTCAAATAAGAAAAGTAAATGAGTTTCTTCGAAGTCATTATCAAGGAAGCCATTATCGATGACGTCATCGATGACTGGGTGCCTTAAGTCCTCAAATAATTCATTATCCCCTTCTCTTACCAAATAGAATTAAGGTATGGGACGAGATCCCTGTCGAGGAGCACGTAAAAGGACTCCAAGTTCTAATTATGTCCGAGAAAGGGAGGGAGGGCTGACCCTTTTCATTGACACTCTTCATTGGGAACTGACAACTTTGCATATGTTAATTATTCAGGTTTATTTGTTATGTAGTAACTTTGCAAACAAAAATAAGAGAGTGCTCACAGTCTAATATATGGAGAATTTTATAATTAAACCTATTCTAAGAAAGGAACCTGACAGTATCATTATTGACAGGCATGTACCTTTGAAACAGTCAAAGGATTAATTAATTAATATATATAGCAAAAGCTCTCCCTGGATTATTTAACAAACTGCCCGTGCGTGAAATATAAAAACGAAACTTTAGAATAAAAATAAATCAGGTTCCACAAGCAATTCCTTGATATGCAAACAGTTCAAAGGTAGCGAAACAAGACCAACTACCCTATAAACGAAGCCAAAATTTAATGAAAGACCGCAAACAAAGGTGATCCTTGTAAAACTTGGCGTTTAAAAAGACTTGAATAATCTCCGCAAAATAAAGTATAAATCAACTACAGTGTTCCAGGCCGAAAACAGGAAACCAATTTTTGCCCGACGATATTACTGAAGCATTTTTTTTAATATAGCCATTTCACACAATTGGCCAACTTCTGGCTCGCTAAATTGCCAGCGGTCGACACTAACCCATTTTCCAATGTAAATGATACCAACAGAGTATTTTCTTTCCAACGGATCACTGTTCCAAAAAGTCATCCAGTTACCTACTAATCGCGGAGTAGTCAATCGATAAAAATCGGTAACGATAAAAATCGGTAGAAATCAAGTCAGTGATTTTTATCGATTGATAACGGAAATCCGTGAAAATCGATAACCTAAATTGCTGTGTCAAATCGATATTATCGATTTTCCATGTTTTTAACGATTTATAACGGAAGTCCGCCAATGTTGTTTTTGGCATAAGTTAGATAGTACAGTTGAGAAAATACGTCCACGAGTAACAACTGATCAACAAACATGAAAATGGGAAATATGGAAACTATTACAAACACAAGTTTCTCTCTAAAACTCTTCGTTTTGTACATGTTTTACGTCTATCTGGACCCGCTCAATATGTCAAATGTAGGCGACTTATCATGGAGTTGAATTCTTAAGGATTTTATTCCGGTTCAAAAAGAGGAACGAAAATTCGTCGTAGTTATGTTCATGTTCTCCATAAAACGGTCAATTAGGAGGTTTCACGTCGTAGTCGTGCAGTGGACGTCAAAGAAATGTACTAAAAAGCGTGATGCACGTGCAACGGAGCTGTTGTTTTGATCATTAAACCTATTGTTTTTTGAAGTCGTGGTTGTGGTCGTCGTCGTAGTTGCTCAAGCTCCCTAATGTTGAAAATCAACGACATCTTAGCAGCTCTATCTCTTCAAACAGCCTTGTCGCCAGGTCCTTTTCCCACGATATCTGAGAAGTTATCAGACGCACGGACGTTTAATATACTGCGCTGCGATAATCTGCTCTTCTGTTGTCATGCAAAACATGGCCTCTTCGCCGTTTTATCTTCTGCTTGTTGTAAGTACGAATTTTCTTTCGTCGCATGCTAAACCTGTTAGTTTATTGGATGACAGTGAGTAACAGTGAATCATTAATTTGCTATCGATTCAAAATGATATACCCATAAAATTTCCTAACCTCTTGGATTACTTAAAGAATAGACTCATGGAATGCGCAATTGTGTGAATTGCCTACGCATATTTTTAAAGTCCATTTTTTCCTTGTAGTCTTTTAGTGTCATAGAGAACATTAATCGTAACTATGAGACAGAAAGCTTGATTTAGGGCCTGTTTACATGAAGGTGGGGCACCCCAGGTAGGTGATGAGGTCACCCGCTTTAGGAGGGGTAACCTGCCTGTCCATATAATCTCTCATTCTAATGTGATCACGTTTACATGATAAATGGGGTGACCCGCAACGGCAGGTAGCCCGGTCTGGCAGACCGGGTAACCCTCTCAGCCGGTCAAATTTTGCCATGTAAACGGTTCAAGGAGGGGTAACCCGCCTAGCCGGGGTCCGATTCGTGATACATCAAATTCGCGCAAAATTCACTTTGGCGGTGGTTTTGCATCATTATTAAAGTTAACAATAGAAAGCCATCACACTGAAGGTTGCAGCAAGAGCAGCCAAAACATGTGGTTTACGATCATGTTTCTTGTTTACGTGCTTAGCGACCATTCAATAAACTTGAGAAAGTGCACCCTGGGATGGCGTGGTTGTAAGATTGCATGTAAAGGAGGGTTAATTTTTTACCCCACCTAAGCGGGTAACCTCACCTTGCTGGGGTCCCCCACCTCCATGTAAACAGGCCCTTATTTTGCTGTATTGCATGAGAAATATGGTCCCTAGGGTACTCTAGTCCCGGTGAGCACTTCCATATGTGCCGCTGAACAGGATATGGTTTTTCTGAGTCTTTTAGCCTGCGGAAACAGACGTTTTTATGGTCGTCTGACGTCTGTGTCCGCAGGCTATGAGTCTTCAGGATTCCTACCAAAAATTATTTTTTTCCAAAATCATCTAATTCCATTGTGTCAGTTTAAACAATTTTAATCTAAATTACGTAATTCTGCATGGGAAACGAAACGAATCAGGGCCGGGTTGTTCGAAGCTGGGTTAAGATAACCCAAGGTCAGTGCAAATTTCGAACTCAGTTATGAGAGCTTTAAAAAGCCAATTCAGTTGATTTCTCTTTGCCTACAATTTGATGATTGGATATGCTAAAAGAGTAGAGAAAATTATCCGGAGAGAGTGCTTTTGATATAAAGAAAAAGAAACCCGGGTTAAAATTTAAGCCCGGGCTAGCGCTAACCGGCGTTCGAACAACTGGGACCAGGGCCCTAAAATAAGTTCTCTCGACAGGGTAGCGAAATGCATGATTTGTGTCTAAACCGAGTCAGGGTTTGAAAGCTTTGGCGGGACTTCGGGAAACGGGTTCCTGGTCTAAATACGATTTCCTTTCCCCTATTTTTTCGAAAATTGCAAAGAAGAACTTAGTAATAAAATGATTGGTTTCAAGAGGGTCAAAAACGTGAAGAGCAAAAACGTGTCTTCATGATCACGCATCCCGTGCCGGGAGCAGTCCTGTCATGTCAGTATATCGTGTTGGCCTACGCAGATGTTTCTTCACGTAAATCAACTTGTAATAGAGAAGAGAAGTGTGACGTCACGTTACCATGGTAGCACTATTTCTGGATGACAACAAAACCAACGACGACTGCCACAGTAAGGAGAACGAAAAAATAATATGTTTATATTAACAAAGAACAACTTTGCAAGTGCATCACGCTATTTTGTACACTTCTTTGCCGTCGTTGCACCACTACGACATGAAACTTCTTAATTTCACGAGCCCGCTTTATGGAGTAGGTAAAAACAACACAAAAAATTGTCGCTTTCTTTTTCTAAACTTAGATAACGATAAATACGGCCCCGAAGAAAATTTCGCCAAGATTTGCCAAATTAAATTAAATAAAATTGAATAAGATCGGTGAAGTTTGAAATAGTGCGAATGGACTTTTAAGTGACTTTATCGGTTTGTTGTCATCCAAACATTTTGCTACCATGGCAACGTGACGTAACGACTTCTCCTGTCTATTCAAACGGAAACTCAATGATCCCTCTTATTATCTGCGCACCCCTAACGCTCACTCCTCATTAGGCCTTGGGATAGACTTGCCGTATAAACCGTTTCACTTCTAACCGCCTGGCCAAAAAAAATCCCCGAAATATTAAATTTCGTTTTGTAAAATCGTAAGAAATAAATGGTACTCTGCAAAAGTTCTACTAAATAGGTTTCATTTGAATACCAGCACCATAGGATTTCGCCCACAGATTCATTGTTGTTCCGAGCCTCTTTTTCAAAGGGAGGCTAAGTGCAACATGAAAGGTTTTGCACTCAGTAGCCTCGTTTCTAAAGTGAAAGTTTATGGAACTCGGCAAAAATTACCTACTGTTGACAAAAGTCTGGTCGCTACTGCCCAAGCTAGCCCGGAAAGTGGGGGATGGGTACTCCTGGGAATTCTTGGCGGGGGTGTGCCTGACCCTATTTCAGACCAAAAAATGTTATTTTCCATATCTGTTTTCAGACCAGACCTTTAAAATCCATACCCGTTTTCAGACCTTGCCTTTAGGCAGAAATTATGTCATCATTACTTAGAGTAGAGCGCAAACAAAAAATTTCTTCAAATGCATTTCGAATTCACATATTTCTATTCAGTCGCTCTTATTCATTTGGGATTTAAAAGACACGTATGTTCATACACTCCCGTAGTTTCCTCTAAAACTATACCCAATTCCAGACCAAAATGGGAAAGTCTATACCCGTAATCAGACCATGTATTCGGTCGCTAGGGAAAAACAGCCATCCTATGTGCTAAATTGATAACATACGTATTTCTGCATAAAAAGCAGCGCTAAAGGAAATTCTGCACCGTTGTTAATTTAGGTGTTGAAGACGCGTATGTATTCAATTTTTTTTCAGGCTTTCTTTTTCGCATCTAAGTTGCGTGCATAACAGCGATGATTTTTCACGTATGGAAATTAATGTTTTCTTTAATTAAAACTTACTTTGACTGAAACATTTTCCCCACACCAACAAACAACTATGATCGCAGGCTACCTATAACATCTTGTTTTCTTGTCTGCATGATACAATTTACTGAATAATTGATAGTGTACACAGCCATCTGTTTTCATTACACATCTTCCTTGTTAACAGTGACAGAACAGATTACTTTTACTCAAGTAACAAATGCACTGAGTGAGAGCCTTTGAAGTTAAGTAGACCGAAGTAATTGACACGGAATATGAAATTCTACTACATGATTTCTTGCGTCATAATCTTGTATAAAAGCATGGACACGTTTGTAAGAAGTCATTCTTATAATGAAGGTATGTTTAAGAACCTTTTTTTCTAATGCTCTTGGAACGCTAACAGTTAGCCAAATTTTGCAGCAATTTAACAGAGGAGGGATATTTTGTGCATTTAACAGAATTGCGGTTTAGTTGATAAAATTCCCCCGTGCTGCAGTTTTCGAATTAAATACAACCATTATTTCTCCACTCTGTTCCATGTTTTTGTTTTTTTCGATTTGATATATTCTTTTTCGTAGTGAGCTCAGCCCTCTAAGTTACTAAAATGCAAGCTCTTTGACAGAAACTTACGGAAAAGTATTCTTAAACGTTTAAGTAACTGGTCTGTTACTTACTGAAAAGAGTTCACGTAATGTTTTGTTTCCAAGTCAGTTGTTTTTCCATAAATTTTATACTATATGCTTTTTTAAAAACATTTTGACATATCTGAGTGCTTAAAAGTCGCTTGACATTAAGTATTATACGGGACTTAAGACGCTTAGTTAATTAACCAATGCTGCGTTTAGAAGGTTAGACCCTGCAGCAGCTAACAGCTAGATATCTAAGGTCTTGTGTTTTACTTTGAGTATCACCACCAACTGGAGACTCAGCTGGAGTTATTTGGAAACAAGTCAAATGCGACTACATGGTGGAGAGTGTTAAGTCTTGACTGTCACGTCCTGTGAATTTTTTAATGAAGGGAAGTTGACCTCCAACAATGCAATATTTACCTAGATTCATGGCATTCAGATTTAGACTGTGTTTGAATTATTTACGCTGACAATTTCTGAATTATTTACGCTGATGTTATCGCATTAATTATAGATGGTAAGACGTTTCACATAGTTATATACTAATTTTACATAATATAGCTTTAGGTTATCAGGAACAGGCTTGATATCGTACTTGACAGAGGCAAAATATGATGAACAAAAATAGTCACAATTTTCATCGATAGGCTGTTACAGGTGGAGAGGGATGGTTGGTGGGGGGAAAGGGTGGGGTAGTGATTGTTTAGGGTGGAGAAGTGGGAGTAGCCTGTGTACATACCCCCCTCCCCTCAGGAAAAATGAGTGTAGTTGTCAATGTGATGATTTTCAGATTCCCTGCTATGTATTGACGACAGGCCCTAAAACCTATCAAAATCCCTCATTTACATGGTGCAGTGATAGATCATTCTCTCTTGTCTACAGGTAACAGCTAATCAAATTATTTTCCACACATTCCGGGAAAAATCACGTGGCCTCCATACACGATTAGCAACGGTGAATCACAGACCCCTCTTCTCCGATTATTCCTGACGGGAGGGGGGCTGGGGTCTGTACACAGGCTGAGGTGGGAGTTTTTCATTTCAGCGTCAGAATTTTAACATTCTGCGGAGCTTAACTAGAGACTATTGTTGTTGGGCCATCGTAGTTTGATCAAAAATAAAACACAAACAGCGGTGATAAACATTGTGAGTTTTCGCATTTTTTATAAACTTGACGTTTCGTATGCTATTCAAAATACATTTTCAAAATTGATCTTAAGTGACCGTTGAAGAGAGAATGCTAACCGCTGAACAATATGCGGAATCCTTATTTAAATTTGAATAAGAAACCCCAATGAACTCTATTACAAGTGTTAGAAATATAGTTCTGCTATTTTTTTCCTTAAGGTCCTTGTCGCGAATTGGCGTTCCCAAGTTTTCTTTTCTTAACCGACAAGCGCCTGATGAACCACACCATAAAAACTTTAAAAGTTCGCGATCTGGATGAGTGTGAGTTGAGGTGTTACTACGAGCACAATTGTGTCAGCCTTAATTTTGAAAACAAAATGGTTGGAAATGGAAAATACAGCTGTGAATTGAACAATTCTACACACGGAGAACACGATGAAGACTTTGTGGAGGCATCAAATTTCCTTTACCGCGGAACAAACGTAAGATCATTAAATTTTAACGTTATCCAGTCTCCGAGCCTATTAATACCATAACCCAACGCCTCGTCCAAAGGGAAATGGCTGGAGCTCACCCTTTGGGCTTGACTGTGTTACAATATTTTGCAAAGATCAAAAATTAAGGAGATAGTTTCCCCCCCCCAACTAAATCTGACAACTACACTAGGTCTCTTCCTTTCGCCATTAAGCACCTTAAAACAACGCCTCCTTATGTATGTAAGACGGGCTAATCCCTAAACCCGACGCTTAGAGTTGGGCTCGGACTGACAATCTTTACTCATTTTCCTTGAATCATGATAAGGCGGACACCTCTAGCAAAGGTTTCGAAAAGGCTCAGAAGCATAAAACAATATCTCTTTTCCATAATATTTTCCCCAGAATCCTTGTGGTAGTTCTCCATGCAAAAATAAGGGGACTTGTCAATCAGGATTTACCAAGAAAGGATATCACTGCTTGTGTCGAGGCTGGACAGGTGCAAACTGCCAAATGGGTAGGTCTGAAAAATAGACTAAATGAACGCAGTAGTTATGAAACCACGCAAGCTGTACCGCACTTAAAAGGAAGAAACCACATGTGAGAACATTAATTTGAAAAAAAAGTATATAATCCGCTGTAATATTAGCCCTGCCATTGTCGACAAAACCATCACAAGCGCATCAAGCGCAGGGCGTTCCAGACGGAAGCAGCGTTTTCAGGAGCTTGTGCATTGATGAAAGAGTTTTCCTTTCACTTTGGAGTGGATTCAGGATTTGCAGCACGTTTCTCTTTACTTTCACCTTCGTTTAGCCTAAAATTCTCGATCTGAGTTATAATTTGAAGTTGAGTTAATTTTCGGGGGACCGTTGACCTGCCGTGTAAACGAGACAGTTCCACTGTCCAGTCATCGTTTTCTTTGCAAAGTAACTGAATGAGTCTTCTAATAACTATCTTCACCTAGATATTAACGAATGTGATGAAAACAGTCACGAGTGTAGCCAGAACGCAGATTGTAAAAACACAAAGGGATCTTACAGATGCAACTGCAAGACTGGATTCTATGGAGATGGATACAACTGCACAGGTATCCCAGTGTTTACTTGGGTCCTTAGTTGTTGTAAACAGTTCAGAAAAGATCTAACCATCAATAAACTGCAAAAGATCATCCTCTTAGGAGCGGCACGTATACTAAGAAGATTTCTGTCCATCCAGTAAAATATCCCTCTAGCAACTCAGGACCAAGGAATGGGCCAGTTTCTAACAGACTACAAGGAACAACAACAATAATAATAATAATAATAATAATAATAATAATAATAATAAATTAATTAATTAATTAAAGAGCCGGTATCCAGAAGAAAAGGTAGAAGAGTGGATTTTAAATCCAGCGTGCTGATGGAAGTTGAAAGCTCAGTTATAAGCGAGGTATTATTTCTCTGGCCAAGAAGACGAAAAGGGGAGCTTGTAGCAGAAATATTATGCTAGTATCATCCATTGATCTATTTGCATAGGAAAGAGAGGGAGAGAAGACTTAAAAGAAAGGGTGGCTTATTCACTGTCTTCCGCTTTATAAAGAATATAAACGCAAGTGAGATGTAAGTAGTTAATTCACACTATTACAACACTATTCTAGATATCAACGAATGTCAAGAAGAACTGAGATGTGGAAAGAACGCAGCTTGCACGAACACTGAAGGATCTTTCAGATGCACCTGCAATATTGGTTACTATGGAGACGGATACATCTGCACAGGTATACCACCGATAGAGCAAACTTCCCAAGACTGAAAGCAGTTGCAAGCGAGGGTAAAAGACATCACTGATTTTCTGATCACCATCAGAAAAACAGCCTGAAGTATGATGATGTTTACCGGTTTGAGGTTGCCAATAGTTCCTGGTAAAGAAAAAAAAAACGGCCGTGCAATAAAGTGTTAACAATAACTGGTGCGCTAGATGGAGAATTTTTTTTCTTTAGCTTTTGTAAAAAAAACCCACTGCACTGAACACCAACGAATCTTCTAAAGTCTGAGGCATTGGCTGCTTTGACAGTTATGATCGTTAATCACGTAAATCGTAAACTTTTAAACAAAACATCATATGAGAAAGGACTGGTTTGTTTTTTAGAGGAGTTAAGGAAAACTCTTTAACAACTGCCTCTGGCAACATAGTGTCTCATCGCTAGCAGAAATGTTGATCAGTCTGATATTTTTCTGACGAGGTAAAAACTGGTTTGGCTGCTCTTCTGATTTAATTCTTCTCGATCTTAATAATAATTATGCTTATGAAAATTTCGCTATTAAATTGTCTCCTATGGTTTCTCTTTTAACACGAACAAATTGATTATCTCACTGTCACAGTCATCTCACTCTCTGATCTTAAATATCTTTTGTTCTCAAACTAGAGTGTTACGCAATATTTGACTTCGAAGACCATGATTTGTCAAATTGGACTTTGAATGGTACAGCATTCAATAATCAGCCAACATACGGGAATAACACGTTATCAAGGAAGGGTAGGGCTTGGAGCAACCACAAAGGGGATTGGTGGATTAGTACCTTCGAGAATCGGCCCAGTCCCTCTGAGCCGTTTGGGGGACAGCAAGGTGATGGTCCTCAAGGCTCATTGACGTCACCCAGTTTTCAGATTACTGGAAAGTTGCTTACCTTCCTGATTGGATCAGGCTGCGACAAGAGTTTTCCAAACCTTCGTGCCGAGCTTATTATTGGTGGGGAAGTGGTTCGCAATAAGACGACAAAGGCGTGTGATGAAGCTATGAAAGAGGAAAGCTGGAATGTAACAGATTACGCTGGTAAAAATGCCCAGTTGCGTTTGGTTGACAATTCCTCAGGGGACTGGGGTCACATCAATTTTGATCACTTACAAGCTTGCCATAAACTCATTTCAGATATGGATTCTTGAGTTCTCTTGGTGTTCATTTTGAGCAGTTCTGTAAGATGAAAAGAGACAAAGGACTTTGTAAGACTAGAGGCGGTTTTGTTTTGGGAATCATTTACAGAATGTACAGCTCTCTTTGTTTTTCTTCTGTGATCAATCAGATCGTCTGTACTTTTATTTTATTTCTATTTTATGTAGTGATTTCGGTGAACAATAAGTGTAGTAGAGTTCGGATGTTTCGAATTAGCTCTGCGGTATTTTCCCAAAAGTTAAAACAAAAGTAACTTTATTCGCTCTTAAAAACCCAATACAATGGGAGTCATTTCTCTCCCTGAACCAAATTACAAACACAAAACTAAATATAAAGGTAACGAGCTAACAGCGGGGTGTAAGAAGCTTGTTCTTAAAGTTAGTGTACGATTAACATAAGAATTATGTGAAGAGTTTAGTAATGATCCTTGTAAAAATTGGGACTTTCAAAGTAGCAGAAAGCACTTCAGAGCCTTGCTTTATCTTTATTGTTTGACTAAAAGCTGTAAAAGGTAGCAAAACGTATACATACACCAGGAACCGGGGCCAATAGCACACATATCAGGAGAATGCACCCAACGACAGTTTCCTCTTTAATACATTGAAAACACTTTTTAGGCTATCCAAAGTACTTTTAGAGCTGTAGAAATTCATTTTAAGTGGCGCTATAAAATTTGTATCTGTTCGGTCACCTTAGAGGAACTTGAGTCTTTTCGAAATTTTAAGGGCTTGTTGATTCGAGAAACGGTAGAGAGGTCAAAGCGATTGCCTGTTCTCTTAAAGAAGATACTATATATTCCACTACTTCAGAGTTTGTTAAAGTTTCCTCAGACTCAAGTAGAAAGGTAACATTGGTTACTGCTTTGAGAATGTCAAACCGCGAGGGATTGAACACGATAGGACTCCCTGGCTGTTTCCATCTTTCCAAAAAGGGATGGTGTAGTACTTTTAAAAAATGACGACACAGAGTTATGGACCTTTGACATACCCCAAGTGACGTTGTTTTTTCTATTTCAGAGGAACGGATAGCCCGTTTTTATTCACCTGGACTACTGCATGTCTTTTGGTCAGATCACTTCGGTTAAAAAACCACCTATTGATCGAAAGCGACCGTGACCACTTTGGGTGTTACGGTTTTAAAATAGATTTCCCACTTAAGCTCGATCTCTATGCTTACTGTAAGAACTACTTTGCGAAGATCTTTTAGCGACCACAAGGAGCTGTACCGTAACTTTACAATTGCAATCCAATGAATTCTCTTTCAAAAAGTAGATGTGTCAGGTCCTCGTCTTCGAAAAGACCCTCTGTAGTTCCATTCTCGTAAGCATCCACCTTCTGTAAGCAAGCGCTCAATTGTTTTCGCAGATTGGGAGGTCACTTACGGGAGGTACGTCAACTCCCGGGGTGGGGAGAGGGCGGGGGGGGGCACTCGAGGAACGTTTGGGTAGAGGTGTACCGCCCAAATGCCACACCTTTGTTGAAGGTCCTGTCAAGTACTTTGCCATCGCGGTCAATGACTTTGGAATTAGATAAGATGATTGTTGTTATTGTTTTCAATTCATTTTATTATGCTATTTTACGAAAAAGACAAACATCACTGGTGTACTTACCTAGTCAGTAAAAAGTATAAAAATGCCGTTTAGCCAGCCGTATAGGCACAAGAAAATGGATTTGGTAAGCTGATTCATAGTTTTGACACCGAGTATGTAGATGATCCCCTCAAGACATTTTAATGCACCTTCCGTTGTTTTGAGCGGGGCATGATTTTCAGAAAAAGGAAAAGCAGGTCATTTAGGTGGAACAGGTGGTCATTACTACGAAAAATAGCCTACCGTTCCACTTTAGTGACCACAATAATGTCCTGCTGGTTGTAAAACAATGAAAAGGTGCATTAAATCTACCCGCTCGGTCCACGCTACGCGCTCGGTCATTATCTTTAAGACGGCCTCGAAGGAGCCTGGGAGAAGAAAGGGCGGGAAGGGGGATCTCTACGACGGCGGGAAGCGGGGAAGAAATTCAAAAAGACAAGCTTTCGTTATTTGTTATTGCTTATCATCCAGTCAAAGAAACGAACCCAAACAACGTCCATTTAACGTTCTCCGAGGCTTAAAGCAATATTTTATATGCGAGAAAAGTCAAAAAACGAAAATTCTTAATCGGGATTAAAAAAAGACATTACTTCCGGTCAAATTGGAAACCTTTCCAAGTCGCTTACACCATAGGTCATGAATGAGATGGTATGACACATATACACGTGTGTCGACTGTGTCAGTCGTGTAATATACGGTAAGTTTCTCGTCTCTCTCGCTGAAGGGCGGGAGTCGGGAGACAAAGGGACACAAGGGTACGGAAGGCGGGAGGTTGTGACCACCCTGTCTCGTCCCCCGCCCCTTTACTACTGCTACCAGAATCTTTCACGGTTTTGCTTTGTTGTGAAAATTAGGGCTTTCTTTTTCAAACCTCGCTGGGATGATTAAACTCAAATATGAATTGGAAGTACGAAATGGATTTTAGTAGTGTTATAGTACCCCATGGCGCTATCGTCACTTGAAAAATGACTACCAAAAAAAAATGACTACGGTATTTTAACATTACCTTGTAAATTAAACATGAATTGTTGTAAAGAGTGCTTATTGAATGTCATTTAAGAACTGGTGACTTTTTTAATTCATAAATTATGCAGAAAATGCTATTGATGCAAAACACTATTCAACCAGTTTTCTAGCATTTTTTAATTTTTTATTCTTAATTGACTGTGAAAATCCCCGCACTTAAATAAAAGTCTTAAGTGTCGTAGTCTTGCCCAGCCTGTCTCGTGTTGCTTTTAAATTTGTGATTATGTATTTCAGCTATTCTTATATTTTTTAATTTTCTGGGCCCACAGAAACTGGCTCACACTGTTGCGGAATCCCTGCCACTTTTTCTTTGTTACGTTGTTTGATTACCTGAATGTATTTATATTATGTTGGCGAAGCTAATAAAATAAAAAAATAAAATAACTTGTGTTTTATTTACCTTCACGTAGTAAAAACAAAAGCATATTTGATAAAGACACAGCATAACAACAAACGGAGATTGGTGACAAGGGCAAGTTAAACTGACACTGTGAAACATTGCATGATTTTAACGATTTACAACGGAAGTCCGCCATTGTTTTTTTTAAAGATAATACAGCTGGGAAGACACAGCCACGAGTAACAACTGATCAACAAACATGAAAATGAGAAATGTGGAACCTATTACACACACAAGCGTCTATCCAAAACTCTTCGTTTTGTACGTAACAACTTAACAAAAACGGTTCGGTTTTATAATTACATTCAGTTCTCGCAGGCAAGTATCACTAGAAATGCAACCTTAGTAAAGATTTCCCAACCTGAATCTCAGACATACCCTCAAGTCGAAGGGATGTCTGAAATTCATTCTTAGATTTCCCTCTATACATTGTCACCGTTTCTGTTATCAATCGATAAAAATCACTCGATTGCTAACGATTTTTATTGATCTCGATTTTTGTCTATTGGCTACTCCAGGATGTAACTACATCCGGAACTTCACCGACGTTATTTTGAAAGGGCGGCGGGTCTAAATGGTGAAAAACTGGGCGCCTTCAAACCAGAAGAAGATTTTAAACTTGGTTTTGAAGAAAATATAAGATTTTTCAGAATTTTTTAAAAGATTTTTTTAAAAACTGATAATTGTTTGATCCTTCGACTATCAATTGCAACTCAGTTGTCAACAAATTTACTGCTTGCATGAAATCAGTTTTCATTTTTGGATGAACAGATGATCAGATATATCTTGACTACTCCGGGTTTCAATAGCTGTCGATGTAACAATTTTGGGAACAAATCAAGTACGACGACGACGGCAGTGAAAACGTCGTTAAAAAAATGAATTAGCGTTCTTTCAAACTTAATTGCGTCTATTTGGACCCGCTCAATATGTCAAATGCAGGCGACTTTTCATGGAGTTGAATTCTTAAGGATTTTATTCAGGTTCAAAAAAAGGAAGGAAAATTCGTCGTCGTATGTCCACGTCCTCCATAGAACGTCAAATTAGGAGGTTTTACGTCGTAGTCGTGCAGTGGACGTCAAAGAAATGTACTAAAAAGCGTGATGCACGTGCAAAGCTGTTGTTTTGATCATTAATTAAACCTTTTGTTTTTTGAAGTCGTCGATGTGGTTGTCGTCGTCGTCGTAGTTGCTTAAGCTCCCTAATGTCGACAATCAAAGACATCTTAGCAGCTGTATCTCTTCAAACAGCCTTGCCAGGCCCTTTTCCCACGATACCTGAGAAGTTGTTAGACACACGGACGTTTAATATACCGGCGCTGCGATAATCTGCTCTTCTGTTGTCATGCAAAATATGGCCTCTTCGCAAGTAAGTTTGAATTTTCTTTCGTCGAATGCTAAACCCGTTAGTTTATTGGATAACGGTGAGTAACAGTCATTTAATGACACCAGTATATAAAAAAACTCTTCAAATACAAAATTAAAAGAAAAACCTAGCTACAGGTCATAAAAATGATCCCCTAAGGTTCTCTGTTTTACTTGCTTATTGTAAGTCATTTGATGACACCAGTATATAAAAACTCTTCAAATATAAAATCAAAAGAAACACCTACAGGTCATAAAAAATAATCTCCTAAGATTCTCTGTTTTACTTGCTAATTCTCAGCCGACGTTAACGTTCACACGACACGGCACCAGACGAATTTTCGACCGGCTGAAAAATTTGACCGGACACTTCTTCGTTCACAGGGAACCCTTCAATATCTTCGCTCTGTTCACACGAAACCTTGAACGGCTATAGGCGTCTAAATTTTCGTACGGTTAAGTTGGTTCCTTGTAAACAGAACACCTAAAGGCAGGAACTTTCAACCGGTTGAAAATTCGTCAAGCGCCGTGTTTAGTTAACGTAGCGGCTGATATACGTCATTTAATGACATCAGTATACAAAAAACTCTTCAAATATAAAATTTTAGCTGTGATCCATGATACTGATTGTAAGTTCTTAGGTTTTTTGTTTCCCTTGATATACTACCTCATGTAAAAATACCTACAAAAAACTCTGCAGTCATCAACCTTACACAAATGGTTATTATAATAAATATTAGGGCCATTTATACGAGGAAAAATAAGACGCGAACTGTACCATTTATGCGAGCATGTCTTATCTAATAAGACGCGTCTTAGCTAAGCCGCACCTTATTTTAGACGAAATGTGCCGTTTATACGGAAAGTTCGCGTCTTATTTAAGACGCGTCTTATGTAAGACGCGCCTTATTTTTCCTCGTATAGAAGGCCCTAATATCTCTTAAGCTTCTATATTTTACCTGTTAATAATCATTTAATGACAATGCAAAAACTTTTTTTAACTATAAAAGGTTTTTAAATGTAAAACTAAAGCTATTGCTCGGCTAATAAACAGTGAACATTACTTAGGTTAGTACACTGTAGTGTTGCATTGCAAATACTATTACTTAAACTAACAGAGAAATCTTAAAATATAAACAGTGGGCTACAGCTGATACTGAAAATAACTGGTTCTGTTGGTGTTCTGTCTTACTTGACCTGTTAATACTAAGTCCTGGTCTAACAGAAAACTCTTCCAACAGAAACATTAAACTATTGCTTTCGATACCGAACATAAGTTCATGTTCTCTGTTTTACTAGCAAATATTAAACTAAATAAACACAATCTTAAAAGAAACTTCTTTACCGTATAGACGAAGGCTGTTAATTAACTTGTTTAATGATGGAAAATACTCGTCGAATAAAAAATTTAGCATAAACTCTTCACAAATTACTAAGTGAACGTACATAATCCCGAATGCAAATACCTTTTTTTGTTTTACTTGTTTACACAAAGTTATTTAATGACAGAAAGAGAAATTTTTTTAAAATATATTCCTTGATCTATTGTGATTACTATACTATACAATACTTTCTCTAGCTTGTTTCAGTGTTCTATTTTAATTTTCAAACACCCAATAATGCTTATAGAAACCTCATCAAATGTAAGCTTTGTCAGTGCTATTGCATACAATACGTACAGGGGCACCCAACGAGAGTGTAGTTCAAAACCACTTAAACATAGCATTGTTAGACGTATTTTAGTATTTAAACGGTAAATATAGGCATATTTTTATCCCCTGAAAATTTTTCATCTGTTCGGATTTCCTAGCTGAAAGTCTAGTGACCCGAACATTATAGGGATCAAAACTTACCTTTCGAAAATTCCAGCCAGAAAAAAGGCTCCCGAAAATTCTAGGTTACCTTTTTAGAGTAAAAAGCCGTTAAAAATAGGCAATTTGATGAATGATGTTCGAAAATCCTAGGAGAAGCAGGCAAGCAAAAAATTTTACAACAAATGTTCCGAAAATTCTAGATCTCAAATCGTCTTCCGAACAGATATTTTCCGCAAATTGTCTTTGGGTGCCACTGTACGTAGCATCAATCCTGGAGGTTAGTTTCTGTTTTACTTGCTAATATTTGCTTTATGTCCCCGTTTGATGATACTCCCTAATGAAGACCCTTTTAACAAACGTTTTATACTGTTGACGGCGTTTGAAGGTTTTCTTCGCAAAGTATTGCTGAAACCGCCTCGTGTTATTTTGAGACTGCCCGTATTATATGTCAGATACAGATCCATCATCCTCATGGAATCTTAAAAACCTGTGCCACATTGATAGGTAATCAAAAAGAATATGTTAACAAAAAATGCGCTGCATTGTAATGAAAAACATCACCTCAATCATCAATATAAAAAAAATCTACAATAAATGTGAGAGGCTGTCAACGGTTCTTAGTTCAAATAGTTTTAGTTCCAAAAGCAGCATCTTTGGAGTACGAGTTTCGGAAGCAATCATTACATCTTAAAAAACTTTACGACACTGGAACCTCGATATAACGATCGAACTCCTCGGTATGACGAAAGATTTTCTTTACCCCAGTCATAGTAAGATACATGAAAAAGAACCTCAATAAAGCGAACAGATTTTGCCATTCCCTTCGCCCTTCGTTAAATCGAGGTTACGCTGCATCACAGTTGAAGGGGAAGGAAATAAAAGAACGTCACACTCACAACTTCTACAGCGGTTTACGTACAGCATCGCAGTCCTCGTTCGTAGTTCTTGAGCTCTCAGAAACTGTAAAAAATTAAGATGCGATTAAGTTTCACTGTATATACTGGAAGTGAACGTTTAGAGTTAAAAACTTTTGTTGAAGTACTGATATAATTTGTACCTACAATCACTTTGTATTAATCCACAGGATTAGAAAGTTACTGTGTAAAAAAGTAACTACTGACCGGGACTACATAAAGATGATGGGGGAAAACCAACTTAAAAAACCAACAGCCACCCGCAATGTACGCAAGCCATGCAATTACAACATGCCTACTTATTCATTGGGATCTAGAAGCCCATATAATAAATATTTGTATCCATTAATTTCGGCCTAAAGATTTAGCTACATTTCAGTTGTTCCAAAATACAAATAATTATCATTAAAAATTTGGTTCTTTGAATCAGACCAATTAATCTATTGACTGTTAGACTCTATTCTAGACTTCGTGTAGTAAAATTTCTTTAAACCCTACTCAAACCCAAGCATCAGCATGCATATTCTCGTCAATGTTCTCTTCTGCACAAAATTCTTTTGCTACCACTTAACAATCACGACCTTCTTCACTTGCTGAACATTTCCTTTTTTCTCGCCACCTTTATGTAATTGCTTGAGCAGTCCTTACTATTAGGAAAAATCGAATGTTGGTCTTTCCTAAGGAGTAGGGGGTTAAATCTGAGTGTGTACAGAATGACGAAAACTAGCTCACCCTGGGGTCTGTTTGCATCAAAATATACGCGGAGGTAATAGACGCGCTAAAATTCGCATGACATTTCTTCTTGGGTGTGATCGTGTCTGCGTGACGAAGTAAGTAATTTTAAGAAACAAACGCATTGCTCACCTTTTGCTTTCCGGCTGACTTTGTCTCGCGGCACTTTTACTTCAATAAAAGGGTGCATACGTTTGGAGTTCCTTAGGCCTATGGCGATCAAACCCTTTTGCGGAAAAGCAGCCATATATTTAGGCCTTTCCGTAGCATAAACATCAAGTACGCTTAGCAAATCCCCAGTCCTAACATTAAACAACAGCAAATGGTAACCTCTTGAAAAATCTCGGCGGTCAATTACACATTCCTCGTTACTCACAAACGCGCAGTTGGAAACATCATCGACTGAGCATAGTGTGCGGAGAGTGTTTCCTGAAGAAGCGTCAAGTACGTGAACTTCTTGCCTACTCTGGGAGGTTCCAGCCGAGACAAGGACAAACTCTTCCGTTGGGGTAAACATCCCAGCTATGTTGCCGCGTAAAAGAGAGTTTTTCCAAGCTCTCTTCCATAGTATACTTTTGCCGTCTGACAGTTGAACTGAGTCAAAAGCGGTGGATAACAGCTGATATTTACTGTTGCATTCTATGGCTTCTTTACGCAACACTGGATATGTTGACTGGTATTCTTCATGGCAAAGTGAGATGGTGTTCACTATTTTTCCACTTGATGTGTCCAGGATGCTCACCTTAAATCCTCTTCCCACACAGGCTACACATTGGTCTGTAACTGGGAATATATAAGTAACCTCGCGTAAACTGGACCAACTTTGGACTTCTTTTGACAATTTAAAATTCCACAGCTGAACAGCCGCCCAAGGATCACGCCGTTTCAAAAGGACACCTTTTGACACAGGTACAAGACAAATTCCACTACCTTCAACAACACAATCATCAACTAAGGACAGGTAGGGTAACTTATCTTCAACAACACAATCATCATCTAAGGAAGGTAACTCTAACATGAGGTTAGTTGCTCGAAAAAGATTATTTTCTTTAATTTTTCGGTTTGACACATCCAGACGTATCACTCCGTCTGCGGTGACACCGTAAATGGTCTTCCCATCTAAAGCAAAGGCAATATGAAAAAAATTAAGACTGTATTGTCTGATAACTTTGAGTGCAACGTGACTGCATATTTCAATATTGTTGCTGCCGGGATATGCCCTTACTAAACATTGCTTGTTTAAGACAAACACAAAGGCATCAGACGGTCGGGGTATAGAACCGTCCTGGGAATTAGAGATAGGATCTCCCATCAAGAATGCACCCTTGCTTGGGGATTGATAATCCCAAGGTTCAGAGCCAACGTTTTCGTCAACATCAAAAAAGGAAAAGGTACGCCAAGGCAACTTAAAGACGTGTAATCGAATAACCTTTCGGAAGCTGCTCATACTTTCTACTGGCAAAAGCCAACCAAAAAGAAATTTAAGATCAGGCGTGAACTTGATCATTCCACATGGTTCAAAAGTGTTGATCTCTGCAAGTGTCTCAAAGCAATTTAATGCATCAACCAAACATACCAGTCCAGAAAAATGGGAAATCGCTAGTGGTCCTAAATTTGAAGACCAGGCAAAAGACAAAACTACCTCATTTCTGACAGTTCGAGATATTTCGTCACCGTTTTGTAGATTCCACATGATAAGGCATCGAGCATCGACAAGGGAGTCAGTAATCATGGTATCCCGATTAATTGAACAAACCGAAAATCTGCAGTTGCTCCTAGGGAACAGTGGTAGGAAGTCTCCGTCACTTGAGTAAGCATGGCTAAGGACTCCAGGGAGAACAATGAGCTTAGTAGGGTGAAAAACAACAGAGCGATAACATGACAATACAGATGTGTTCGGCACCATTCTAAACGCGCCATGGTCTTCAAAGTAACGTTTCTCGACCGTGACCGGACGTTTCCAAATTAGCTTCCCCGTTTGTAGGGACCACAGCTGAATCATACCATTTCTACATTCACAAACCATGAACTCCTGCTGAGGTGAAATGTCAAAGCAAGCCACTTGAGAGGTGCAGCGAAACACAGCTTGGATTCCACTTATTTGCTCCTTCGCAGCTCGCTTATCAACAAACTTCATGAACGGTATGTCATGATATTGGGTATGTAAAAGCTCTTTTGCCTTCTTAGCACAATCTTTTCCTCCCTCCTTCATCATCACTTGAAAGAATGTACTAGGAATCGCCGTCAGCCTTTCGTGGTACTTTCTCAAGAGGAACAACATCGTGCTAAGGGTTCTTTTACTCCTACGACTCAATGCTCTAAAAAGTTCATGTCTCTGAACACGAATAATGTCTTCGGAGCTAGTCGCGTTGTTTACACACAACTTTGCAAATACAATCTCGAAGTCGATTACGTAGTTCTTGACGATTTCTTTGAAGCTGGATGCTCTCGTACTCTCTTCCAACTCGAGCAAATGATCAACACCATGCTGTAGGGCGTACCTCGCAGGGTCACTGAACTCTGCTTCGTGAACACCTTTCCTTTTAACATCATTTAATTCACCAGTACAAAGCTCAGAAAGGGCAAGTTGACCTTGTTTTTCATCCACAGAAAAGCTGTGTTGCCCGTAAGCAGTTCTGTCAGTCAACCAGTCCTTAACTGATTTGTGAAAGAAGTGAATGCAGCCATCTTGAACAGGTAGAAGGGTTGAGATGCATTCGATAGCCTTTCTTACTTTCCGGTGACAAGCTGGAGACTTTGCGTCCGAAAGCAACATCTTAGAAACAAAGTCTAGTGGAAGAGGTTGCTTTGCAGCTGCAAAAGCACTAAGAAAAGTCAAAAACTGATCAGCACTTATCGTCAGTTCCTCAATACTTTTCAATTCTTTCTCCAAACGTTCAAAATAATTCTGATAAACAGATGATACACCTGAAGGTAACGTTCTTCCCAAATCCTCAGGGGTGAAACTTGAAAAGTTTTTGTTGATAAAATCGGCCATCAAATAGGCGTATAAAATATGTCCAGCAGCTTTTCGGGCCAGTTCACTGATAACGACTTCTTCAAAGCTCTTTTGAATAACTTTGCTTAGCTGTCTCTCAAGAAAGAGTCTGATGTCTTTAACATTTTCTTCGTCATCTTGCTTGAGCTGAACAGGATTAAACTTTTTAAGACGGCCTGCGATGTTTACTTCCGGTCGAGCGGTAACACAAAACCGAACCCAAGCAGGAAGTGTGCAAAAGTGATTAGCAATGACATCAAGCAGCTCATTGCGGCCTTTGTATTCACTTTCATCCAAGCCATCAATAACTAACAGCAAATTTCTACCAGGGTCTCCCACGCCGCGTAAAGGCTCTTCGAAAAGAAACTCGAACAACTCCTGAACTTCTAGGCTGTTCATGTCCACACCCAAGTTTCTAGAAAGTTTCTTCACAAGTTCACTTTTGTATTCTGGTAAAACACCACACAGCTGACAAGCTAACGATTGAAGCATCACGCTGGGGTTTCTGTAACGTTCCTTGTTGTGCTGACAAAAGTGACTTCCTGAGAGCCGACCAGCGTGTTGCATTCTTTGGCAGACGACAGCGGCGATCACTGATTTGCCCATTCCCGCATCCCCACTGATTACCATCACACGATTTTCAGATGAAAGGTCGTCTAGCCACAACTTGATCTTCTCAAAGATGAGCAAGCGCGTTCCCTCCTGGTATTTCGCAGAGTGATACCGGATGACTCTCTCGGTGTCAACTTTTGCAAGTTTTCTCAGAGTTTCATCTTCTTCAATTTTATCTCTTCTTTCTTCAGCGTTTGCAGCGTCATACTTAATCTGCTGCTGCAATTCTTGTCGGGTTCTCCAAACTTCTTGTACTAACATCTGTTTTGTATCTTGTAAAGACCGCTGTACACCTTCAACTGCTTGGCGCGTGTCCTGAAGAATTCTGTGGTCGTCTTGTTGCAATTTCACTGCCTCGTTTTGCGTCTGTTGTAAATGGCCAACTGCCTGGTGTGTATCTTGAAGCGTCTGTTCCACTTTGCTAACCGTTCGGTGTGTATCTTGAAGAGTTCTGTGATCCTCTCGTTGCAATTTGCTAGCCTCTAATTGAATCTGTTCTACTTGGCGAACTGTTTGGTTTGTATCTTGACGAGTTTTGTGGGCCTCCTGTTGCAATTTGCTAGCTTCCAACTGAGTCTGTTCTACTTTACCTAATGTTTGGTGTGTATCATGAAGAGTTTTGTGGTCCTGTTGTTGCAATTTGTTGGCTTCTACTTGTGTCTGTTGCATTTTTTCAATAATTTGATGTGTGTCGTTAAGAGTTCTCTGATCTTCTTGTTGGGTTTGGAGCACTTGCTGTTGTTTGCGAATTACGTCTTTTAATTGGAATTTGATCTCATCGTCATTTTTCATCCATTCAGTAACAGCACTGACATAGTCCTCTCCACAAGGCTCTCGCCTTAATCGGTCCACCTCAGACTGATTCAACCCAAGCGAAACAAGAACGGAACTAACTTCCTGCCATTTCACAATGAACTCTGCTGTTGGAATGCCAGTTGTTGCCACGTGACCATAGAGCTCGTTTCGATAGAATTTGACGCGAGTAAGATTAGCCTCTCTAGAGGTGTCACTCGCGGGGGGCATTTTATGCCAGGGACCTGCGGGGGGAGGGTATAGGCCGCAAATGTTACTCAGCAACAGAAACAGAAGAGTGATATCAAAGTTCTTAGAGCTTGGATGCCCTCCACCAGGTGGAAACAGTTTTTCCCATTGACTCCCGTTTAGAATTTTCTTACGCCGCAGATTACTGAGAATGGAATAGTTGGCATAAAGGTTAACAGACAACGTTTTAGGAGGGTGATAACTGTCAAAAACATTTCTCAGTACTGTTGTTCCACCATCAATGAGAAGTCTGCTGAGCTTGTTTCCATTTGTCTTCTCTACAGAGCTGACCAGGGGTGAAGGTGCTGCAGTCGCCATTGAAGCCTGAGAAAGAAAAATCGGCTACTGGTTAAATTTGTGTGGAAAATAATAAACACTTATTGGAGACGTGGATTGACAAAATCTCACAAAGGAAGTTCACTCACAGGCTGCAAATTGCAGAACCCATATTTCATTAATGCTTATAAAAAGGAAAAATAAAGTAATAAAAAAAAGATAAAAATACGTTTCTCCTGTCAAGATACCTCGCAAAACATGATGAAAATTATCATACCATAAGTACAGATCAAGAAGGAAAAAATTCGTTTTTTTCATGCTCTGAAGTACCAATTTGCCCCACTTCCCCCTACCTCTCTCTCTCTCTCTCTCTCTCTCCCTCTCTCTCTCTCTATCTCCCCCACTCTCTCTCTCTCTCTCAAAAAATAACACTAAAGTTCAGATAAGGTGTTTCTCGGGTGCTACAGTGAGCGATATGGAAAGCTATGCCATCCCAACTGTTCGTACCGACCCAAGTGAAATCATACTACATGTTGGCACGAACGATCTTCGCGACAGATCTTCTCCGGAAGTCGCAGAAGATATTATAAATCTGTGCGAAGACATATCGCAGAATACCACAGCTAGTGTAACCATTTCGGGCCTCACCCATAGAACAGACGAGCCAAGCATGGGGGACAAAGTAACCGAAACGAACAGGATTATCAAGTCATTTGTAAGTGCCCGTGACTTAAGTTTTATCGACAACAGCAAAATAGGAAGCAGTATGCTGAACAGTAGTGGTCTGCACCTAAATCAGAAAGGTAGCGCAGCACTTGCTAAGAATATTTTCAATCATATTAGTAATTGTTATTGAGTTAAAGAAGTCAACAGTTTTTTGCCTGAATGTGAACGAAATTGTTATGATGATATGACCTCTGCCTTGAAAGTAAGGGGCTTCAAAATTGCGAGTATTAATGTTGCAAGTCTCCCGCTGCATATTGAAGAGCTTCGACTAATTATGGCTGATCAGTGTCTTCATCTGCTTGCTGTTAATGAGACTAGACTCGATTCTACAATAACTGACAATTTGGTTCATACTGACGGCTACTCGATCCTAAGAAAGGATCGAAACCGTAATGGCGGCGGCGTGTGCATTTATCTTCGATCGAATATTAATTATTGCCTTAGAAATGAAATATTTCCCAGAAATGATTTTGAAATGTTAAGTGTTGATATTAAAAAGCCTAATAGTAAAGCTTTTAACGTAACTGCGGCCAACAGGCCCCCTAGCTGTACGGTAGGCTTCTTTGAAGCTTCGGAAACTATTGTTCGCATTATTGATATGGAATCTAAGGAACAAATATCTTAGGCGATTTAAATTGCAACTATCTATCGGATAGAAATAACATGCACCTGTCTCAGTTGAAGCAATTAAGTTCGACCTATCAGTTTCAACAACTAATCAATGAACCTTCTAGAATCACGCCAAATTCTAGTACACTTATTGATATAATATTATCTAATGAACCCTCAAGGATTTTAAAATCAGGAGTGGTGCAAATGGGATTAAGTGACCATAGTATGGTCTATGCAGTACGTAAGTACTGGGATAAATATAGAAAAGAAAGAAATAGAATAAATAATGAGATTAAAATGGCAAAAGCGAATTATTATAAATCAGAAGTGAAACAAAATGTGGGTAACCCGAAGGAAATGTGGAGGACAATCAATGAGTTAACATATCGTAAGTGCACTAGTAATTCTTCAATAAGTGAAGTAAAAAGTGGTGATAATTCCTTCACAAAACCCGCAGAAATGTGTGAGGTTTTAAATGACCATTTTACATCTGTCGGTCCAAACCTAGCCTCAACACTGCCTAGTGGAAATACAAGTTTTACTCATACATAAAGCCTGTTTCCAGGATTTTTAATTTACAACATACCTCTACCACTGAAGTTTTAAAGTTACTAGGTAAATTATCTCCGAACAAGGCCACTGGCCTTGATAACATGTCATGTCGGCTTGTAAAAGAAGCCGGCCCAATTATTGCCACTTCTTTAGCCTGTATCATAAACAAAACCATAGATACTGGCCTCTTTCCTTCACAGTGGAAAATGGCTAAAGTATTTCCTTTGTATAAAAAGGATGATCGCACAGATGCACAAAATTATACACCAATATCTGTCTTGCCAGCCATTTCTAAGATTTGTGAAAGGGTAGTCTACGATCAACTATACGGGTACTTAAATTCAAATGGCCTGTTAACAAAAAACCAGTCTGGATTTCGTTCCCTTCACTCTACAGTGACAGCGTTGTTATATTTAACAAATAATTGGTATCTTAACACTGACAAAGGCATGACCAACTTGCTTGTGCTTCTCGATCTTGCCAAAGCCTTTGATACCGTTTCACATAATATTTTATTAAAAAAGCTTGAGCTCTATGGTCTGAAGGGTGTAACGCTCGACTGGTTTTCATCGTACCTATCAGATAGGCAACAGCAGTGTGTAGTAGAGGGCTGTGTATATAAGACCCAGTTGATAAGTTGTGGAGTTCCACAGGGTTCAATTTTAGGCCCTTTGTTGTTTTTAATGTATATTAATGATCTCCCTGGATGTCTTCTCCATACCAAAGCACACATTTATGCCGATGATACCACGATATATGCGTCCTCTGTATCCACTGCCAAGGTAAATAATGACCTAACTCGCGTTAGGGACTGGCTTCTTGCAAACAAGTTAAGCTTAAATGTCACTAAAACGGAGTTTATGTTCTTAACAACTACCTTCAAATTATCTAACTTAGGAAGAGACTTTCCAATTAAGATTGGCAACAATCATGTTAAACGAGTCCAAGCAACAAAATATTTAGAAATTCACTTAGATGAAAATCTTAAGTGGAACGAGCATGTTGACAAACTTTGTTCAAAAGTCAATCGATCCATCAGTGGTCTAAAACAGGCACGTGATCATGTACCATTAGATGTTCTAAATACTATTTACAAATCTCTTATCCAGCCTGTGTTCGACTACCGCGACGTTGTTTGGGACAATTTAGACCAAGGACTTGCCACTAGGATTTAGAAATTACAAAATCTTGCTGCACGCATAATAACCTTTCAAGGTTATGACGTTCGTTCACTACAAATACGAAAACAACTAAACTGGGAAGAGCTTGCCTCAAGGCGTCGAAGGCACTTAAGTCTATTAATGTATGATACAGTGAATGGAAATGTACCTAGTTACTTAAGCCATCTTTTCTCGAATGTCTGTGAGAACAACCCTTATAAGTCTATGCTAAGAAATGCGGAGTATAATGTTGTACTGGCCACGTTCCAAAAACAGAATATTATAAAGGGTCTTTCTCATACAGAACGTATACAGAGGAGGAATGCTGTAGAATTCATTACCAAATGACATAAAAGCGTCCGAATCTAAAGCTATCTTTAAAAGATAACTGGCTAGCAGGCAGGCAAACTGTTGACTACATTTTACTATATTTTATTATTTGTACATATTTTTAGTGTAGTTGCATAGTATTCACTTCTGTTTCTATACGGCTTTCATGTAAAGACGTTATGTAACTTATGAAATTACCGTATTCAAATAAACCTGAATCAATCAATCAATCAATCTCTCTTTCCTCAACCACCACTTTCACTCTTACAACCTTTCCCCCTCCTCAATCATCACTGCCGCTATCACTCACCCTCCCCCACAACTACAAATACCCTTGCCACTCCCCCCTCCCTCCTTATTCAGTAGCATTACCACTTGCTTGATGGTTTGAACTTGCATATAATGCATGCTGACAATTAATGGATACCAAGACTTAAGCACTCACGCTCACTGAAATAGGAAAAATGCTTCCGTGAAGGCTGCAAATGTAGCTACAATCCTCGTCAAAAATCTTGAAACACTTGTGTGCATTTTCCCTTCCCCAATGTTGATTTGGGCATTACAGCGGTCTCAGTGCTTTAAAATACGCGTGGCTCAACATTGGGGAGGGAGAGGGCATATTACAGTGAGAACAAATTTGTGAGGAGTAAATCTCAACAATTTTCTAGAAAATTCAAGACAAGCGGTGTCTGTTTCAAGGATTTTTGACGAGGATTGTGGGGTATCCATTGATCGAGGTCCCCTCCTCCTTCACCACAACAGCTACTGCCAATATCACATCGCTCGCTCATTACAAACTCGTGGGGGGGAAGGGGTACTCCCTGTGATGGCCTATACGTGTAGGCTCAGCCCGAAAGGGGTACTTTTTTCAGGCCTCAGGTATATGAAAGGGTAGCGATTTCACTCGTTGATGTATAAAAGGGTAATGAAATCTGTCATTTGGGTGTGTGAAGGAGCCCAAAAGGGCCAAGATGTATTTTATGGCTTTACAAAGTCGAGAAAATGCTCTATTTTTGTGATTGATTCCTGTTTAAAAGAAAGTGCATTTACAGCAATTAAAAGGGATGCAAAGTTCTAAACAAGGTATGGGAAAGGGGTACCATTTGTCAATAAAAGGTGTATGAAAGGGGTACCTTTTTCATGAAAAATGGTATGTAAAAGAGTACGGGGTTGGACCTAATGGTGGAGCCTCCCCCGTATAAACATTTGTAGAGTACCTCCCCAGATTACAATAACATCACAACAGTGTCTTCGCAATCTCATGATAACAATAATATCACTGTGAGGTTTCTATTTTATTTTTCACAAAAGCCAAATATATGCCGAGAAAATTGTGCCCATTGGTGAATGTAATAACTGAAAGAAGTAAGTCCATACAAAATAAGTAGAGGAATGCAAACACGTGCCTCTTGTATAATACATGTACAAATGTAGCATCACAATACTGACGGTGATTGGATGATTATTTATTAGGCCCAATTTTCAACTGAGACTCTTGTTCCTTTTCTGAACATACTGGTTCAATATGTATTATTACCTTCATGTATAAGATTATTTGGTATAATTACTAGTAATAGTTGACACTACAGCTGCCCCCGTTCTTTATATTGTCGGTCAGTAGTATTCTTGCTCGTTGTGTAGCTCTTTGAAATATACCGATTCATAAGGAAGTTTTTCACACATATTCCATAAAATAGGTGAGATAAATACAGGAAACGCAAGGTTCCATGCACAGTTTCAGCTCGATTTACAGAGCTTTGATCAAAACATTCTCAGTTTCGAGAATAGTTTATTCTAAACCATAAGAAAAGACTTAATTAGAAGTTGAAGTTTTCGTTATTTTTCTTTCCCTTTTTACATTCAGTTCATTTTATTTGCCGGAACTAAGCCTTAGAAATTAAAAGGACATTTGATCGATTCACGCTAGCGCATTCTAGTCTTATTTGAAACTTTATAAAGGAAGAACATCTGTGAGCAGGGAATAAGTCAGCACAGAATTTGATTGTCGACGAATTTCTGTAAATGTCCATCAATCTGCTAGTCGGATGATCTAGCCGTTGTTCACTCGTCTTGCTTGTTTGGGGCTGAGTCTTATTCCGGTCAAAGACAGAGAGTGTCTGGCAAAGTTTCCAATATAAATCAAAGATTTGTGAACTCGTGTCTGGCAAACTCTCCAAGTGTTTATATATACACAGTTAAACGCAACTTACAATCTCCCAGGCACCTAACGAGCGTCTTTTGGTCCATAACTTTCAAAACAACTGCTCCACAGATTGTCACTGCGTAACGGCGCAAAAGAGTATCGAAGTATGACTGCACAAAAAATGTCACAAAATCTGCCTGAGCGGTCGCCTCGGGATTTTCTGTCTTTACGTCATCCTAACCATTTCGTACTTGCGGGCGCAAACAATAGAAACGTCATCATTACCTACCGATTCCTCGCGGCCCCAGTTCGAGCAAATCGAGATTTTTTCTAGTGTACTGACTGTATATTTGAACTGTAAGTACTGTCCTTAATATACGCGCGAGTTACTAGGGTGCCTCCTCGGGATTTCGCCTCTGGGCGAAATCCCTGCGGGGGCAATAAAGACAAGCTGGCATTTGTTTGCATGCATGACCCACTGTTGTAGTAATGTGTTACTCCGAGAGCAAAACTTTACAACGTGGCAGTATCTAATGAGATGGCATATTTATAAACAAGCACAAATAGGTCATTTCTGAGTTTCAAAAACCCTCACTTTCCAACGAGACTAAGTGCAAAACCATTCTTGTGAAAATGAGTCTTATTTGCATGAGAATAAAATATCATTTTTATATCAATAGCTTAGCACTTCTGTAACCTCACTTTGAGACAGAGGCATCACTCAACTCAGAAATTGCCTATTTCTTTGAAGCAAAGTGGATGGAATTGGATTTTTAAAAAAATTGTGTCCTCCTCCACTCCAAACATTCACATGATAATGTTTAAGTT